CTACACCTCACTGACCTCTAGGCTCTCTTTTAGTCAGACATGTACAAGCACATCTCTCCCCTACTCTGGGTGAAAAAGCAGTTTTTTACCTTCCTAGGTTCCAATCCCTCTTCTTTCAATACTCCCCACACATAGCTGATTTCTCAGAGATTGAGTATGAAGTGCTCAAAGAAGTGCTCAGATACAGAAGACTCCACTGCCGGAAGAGTCTTGAGAAATTACCAACATCTAGATCCCTTTTGCCTATAGAAAATCATACCCCAAGCCCATCTAACAGTGACCTGTCCTCAAGCTCTGTGGAAACCTCAAAAGCCATTGCTAGACTCCAAACAGGAGAGATCTGGGGCTGAGACAGGGGCCGGATCTCTGAGGCCCCACTCTCCAGCCATCCTGACTCTGTCTCTGGGGGGCTAGTGGGGAAAGCCCTAGGTTAAGGAGCACCTCGCAGTTTGCTCAAGAGGAGACACAAAACCATGGCCCCAGCCCTGTGCCCTCCAGACCCGGACCTGTCAAGCCAGCCCTGAAAATGCAAGTCCTCTATGAGTTTGAAGCTAGGAATCCACAGGAACTGACGGTGGTCCAGGGAGAGGTACTGGAGGTGAGGCATGGACTTGAGCTGAGAAAAGGAGGCGGTGGTTGGTGGTTGATGGGAGCTACTGGGAGCATGGGGGGTGGAGGGAATGGCCTGGAGAAGGTGAAGGAAGGTTGGGCAGGGCCCCGAGAGAGAAAGTCTGGTTGGGGGGCGGGGGGGAGGCTGGCTGGAGAGAGGCTCGCACTGACCTGGTGACTCCCTGGCAGGTTCTGGACCAGAGCAAGCGGTGGTGGCTGGTGAAGAATGCAACGGGACAGAGTGGCTATATCCCCAGCAACATCCTGGAGCCCCTAGAGTCGGGAGCCACCAGGAGTCAGAGCGAGTCACCCACTCGGGTACTAGCATGCCTAGACTTCAGAAGCTATAAAGCCTGAATCGGAGGTGGGGGCAGGGAGGATTCTTTGACAGTGGAGGAGATGGCCCTGGTTCAACTGAATCAGTATTATCACGTGCTTACTGTCTGCTGAGTTTATTGTGGGGCTAGAGCAAAGAACAAGCCTTATGCTTGTCGGACAAGCAAACCATGGAGTGAAACACATGGTTTGATGAAAGCCCGGGGAAGGGACCCTGATGAGAGGGGCTGTGGGTGGCTCTAAGATGAGATGGCTTCTGACTCCCACTTCCCCTCGTTCTAGGCTCCGATGCTTCGACTTAGCTCAAGGCCTGAGGAGGTCACAGCCTGGCTACAGGCAGAGAACTTCTCCACTGTGTGAGTGCCAAGTCCCACAGCTTTACCTGTGTAAAGGGGGCCGATAACAACTGCCCCCCCCCACAAGTGTCTCTTCCAGGGCACTTGTCCCTTCAACCCCAGGAGTTTATGGAGTTGGTTTAAGCCAGTGTTTGTCTTACTCCCTGATCTCCAGACACTCTTTCTGTGAATTCTCCTGTCACCCCAGCCCTCCAAGCCCAAATATCCACCCAGATACTCAGGGCTGGGTCCTTCCACCCCACCACTGATGGTTTCTGCTATTTTTGTGTCTAGCACCGTGAAGACCCTTGGGTCCATGACGGGGAGCCAGCTGCTTCACATGAGACCTGGAGAGCTACAGATGCTGTGTCCACAGGACGCCCTCCGGGTCCTGGCACGGCTGGAGGCTGTCAGAAGGATGCTGGGGGTGAGGACGCGCAAGGATCCCAAGCCCTGCTGGAAATATGGGGTGCTCCCTGAGTGAGCACGAGAGTGCCCGGCAGGCAAGCCAGCGCGCCCGACCCTGGGGCGGCACTCACTGTAGCAGGTCTGGTACAGGACGATCCCCCAGGGGCTTGACTTCATGTGACAGGCACACCTTGCAGCTCCTAACTGACTGCTGGCATGAGCTCCGGGGTCCCTTAGCTGGCACTGGCCTCACCTCCACCTTTTCTTTCCTCAGATGAGCCCTTAGGCAGCAATTCAGACACCTCCAAGACCAAGACTTTCTCACAAGCAAGATGGCGGATCTGATACTCTTTAGAGCCCTGAGAATTCCTCTTCCAAGCCCCCAGGTTGCAGCAAACCCCACACCCCAGCTCACACAGCAAAGAGGATGAACAAGACCAGAGGCTGAGACAAACCGTGCCCCTTCTTGCTGTGTGGAGAGGTCTCCCCAGTTGCCACCTATTTATTGCATCTCTCTCCTGAGCTTAGAGCATTTATGCCTAGATTTGTCAGGACTCTGTTTAGACCCTCTCCTCCCCAATAAAGTTATCCTCAAGCTTGTCATGTGCCTCTCTTGCAGCTTCCTCTGGCCCTGGTGGAGGCCAAAGGCAGGGAATCAGGGAATCAGGAAGAGCTGGGACACTGGGCATGAAACAGCAGCAGCCCTACACCCATCACTGGGCCAGACTATGAGTGGGAATTCACTGGAGCAGAGTCAGAATTCAATGATCATGGCCCAACTGTCCTTAATTTCTAAATAAACTTGAAAATAAGGCTATACTCGACATCTTTATCCTTCTGTGTACATTTCTCCTGGTATATTCCAAGACACCCAGTATAGGTGAGGGCAGAACATCAGAGCAAGGAGTACTGAGGCTGACAATTGCAGGTTTTGATCAGCCAGACTGGCTGATGATGCAAAGACACCATGAAAAGCATGTCCAGGCTCTACTTAGCAACTTCCTCTTTTAGTACTTCTGTCACTTCCTGTTGCAGTGAGCTAATTTTGAGCCCCCCTCCCCAGCTTGTCTCTTTAGCGGTGGAACATAGGGAACATTGGACTGGCTATGTGAACTCAGCACAAGTCATTTCACTCTCTGGCTCTCTTTTTTCTCTCAAATGTTAGGTGAAGAGTGTAAACTATCTGTGGCTGCTAATATTTAGGATACATAGCCTTCTTTAATCTCAGAACAGTCACAAGACTCCCCTCCTTATATAACAGAGGTTCTACTATCATTCAGTTAGTCTGCAGATAAGGTTTGATATACATATGGATTAAGGGCCCCTTAAGAGTCCTTAAGATGTTCCCTTATTACAATAGCCAGAACATGGAAGCAACCTAGACATCCATCAACAGGTGAATGGATAAAGAAGTTGTGGTACATAGATACAAAGGACTATCACTCAGTCATAAAAAGGAACAAAACTGAGTCAGTTGTAGTGAGGTGGATGCACCTAGAGTCTGTCATACAAAGAAAAACAAATGTCATACATTAATGTATATATATGGAATCTATAAAAATGGTACTGATGAGCCTATTTACAGGGCACAGATAGAGACACAGATGTAGAGAATGGACTTGTGGACACAGTGGGGGAGGAGGGGGCAGGACGAACTGAGAGAGCAGCACTGACATATATACACTCTCATGTGTAAAACAGACAGCAGTGGGAAGCTGCTGCGTAACACTGAGAGCTCAGCTCGGTGCTCAGTGATGACCTAGAGGGGTGAGATGGGGGTGGGATGGGAGGGAGGCTCAAGACAGAGGGGGTCTATATACACAGAGTTGATCCACCTTGTTTTACAGCAGAAACTAACACAACATTGTAAAGCAATTATGCTGCAATAAAAAAAGAAGAAAAGATCTTATAGTCACTCAGTTGAATCTGTCCATGACCCTAACACTGCCAAAATATCCTATTTTTTGACTGCCTATCTCATTCCCTCAAGTTCCTGGCCTCAGAAAATCATCTCTGCTAGCTGGTAACACTGAATAAGAAAGCAAATACTTTCCCTCACAAAATAGAACAAAGGTGAGACCCTTAAGGTTTGACTGTCCAGAGCAAAAGTTAACCGGAAAAGTTAATTTGGGGGAATGAGGAGAGGCGATACTGACACATTGTCTTCTGGGGCTTCATGGAGCTGAAGAAGTCCTAGAAAAAATGAAAACTTGCAGAACCAGGTAAAAAAGTATTTTAACCCAGGGCTCCCCAGATTTCCCAGCAAAGACTGAGATGAGGTGAGGCTGTTTGGATATCCAAGCGCAGAGGATCTAGCACACGTCGGGCTATTACACAGACCTAGTTTCGAATTCTAGGCCACCCACGGACACTTGAAATTAGAAAGGCAACTCACCCTACCTCTCCACGCCTCGCTAATCTTCTATAAAATTGGTGTAACAGCTACTTCACAAAGTTGTTGTGAAGCTTAAATTGGAATAAATTAGCTAGCATACATGAAATACCTAGACTATTGACTAGCATATCATAGGTTTTCAAGAAGCATTAGTCTTATATCCCAAGTTATTTGTGACTGGCCAGTTATTTTAGGAGGAGAAATCCCAACATTATAAATTCATCTGTCCCAATGCATTTTAACTTTTTTCCTTTCTTCTCTTAGTGAACTGTCCTTTTTAAAAGTTTCATCTTTGCTACACCCAAACTAGGGGGAAATGTGTTTTCCCACACCTGGCCTAAAGGGTTTAGGGGCTCTGTGTTCTAAGTGTTTGTGCTGCAGAGACCAGGCCAGGCACCTACCCAGTAGCTCAGAACTCCTCGTCATCCACACTCTATGCACACGCCAAAGAAAGCGATTCCCTGATGGTCAGCCTCTGTCGACTCCTGGTGCTTGCCCACTTTCCCCCAAACCTCCCATCTCCACTAGATAAAAATTTATGGCAACTAGGGTAACAGGGTCCTCATGGCCTGGACTGATAGGGCTCAGCCCCATCCCACTCTAACTGAACTATTAAACAGAGTGCCGCTTTAGGTGCGGAAGGTAGAGAGACTCAATCACAGGGCCCGGCCGTTCTCCTCACAGGTCTATCCCCGGGAGTATCCTCCCCCAACGCCAGGAACTGCAGAAGTCGCGTGGGCACGCGGCCAAGCGGACAATCAGAGGGTGGGGAGGGGGCGGAGGGCGGGGGGCGGGGGAGGGGGCGGTGGGGGCGGAGTCAGGGCGCGCACGTTGGCACCCTCTACCTACGTCGGCTATAAAGCCCCTCCTGGTAGCCATCTCCCGCTAGTGCGCGAAGGCACACGGAAGATTTCGACATGGCTTCGTCAAAGTCCATGGTTCTAGGTTACTGGGATATTCGCGGGGTGAGTGCGGTCTCAGCGGCTAAGCCGCTCTGTCTGGGAGACTGACGCGGAGGTAGTGGGGGGTCCTCTTGAGGTCTCCGAGGCCAAACCTCCTACACCGCGCTGCGCAATGGTGCGCGGCCGGGCTCCTGCGAGCTCCGGGGCCGCGGAGACCAACCCCCTGCTCCGCCGTTGGAGACGCTGGCCTGGGGGAGAGGGGCTGAGGGCAGCAAGCCAGCCCGGGGTAGGTCTCGGGAGCTGCTTAACCACCCCATCCTGGCGGGTTGCGGCGTCTCGGCAGCCCTAGCAGGGACGTTGGCGGATGAGGGGTGGAAGACGTTGGGGCTTGGGGGCGGGGAACTGCGCAATTGCTGACCGAAAGCTTTCCCCCACCCCCACCCTTCTCCCCCCGACCCATCAGCTGGCGCACGCCATCCGCATGCTCCTGGAGTTCACGGATACATCCTATGAAGAGAAGAGATACACGTGCGGGGAAGGTAATGCTTCAGTAGGTGCCAGTGCGACGCCGCGCTGAGCCGAGCAGGTCTTCCAACTGTTCCTGCCTTCTTGAGCCCAGAGGGTGGCATCACGCCAAAGTCGGGTGGGACTTCTGCCACCAGTCACCTGGGAGCTCTCTGCTGTGTTTAGTGTGGGGAGAGAGCTGGGAATTCTTCTCGTGCCATAGCCCAACTCTGCCTTAACACTGATGGTAATGGCTATGCTTTTGGGGTCTGGGTATGGGAGGTATTGGGCTTCCCAGGTGGCGCTAAAAGAACCCGCCTGACAATGCAGGAGACATGAGATGGGGGTTTGATCCCTGGGTCAGGAAGATCCCCTGGAGGAGGGCATGGCAACCCACTCCAGTTCTTGCCTGGAGAATCTTGCCTGAAGAATCCCATGAACAGAGGAGCCTGGAAGGCTAGAGTCCACAGGATCGCAAAAAGTCGGCCACACTGAGGCAACTTAGCAGGCTTGTGAGGAATTGGAATTAGGGTGTGTCCCTAAATCTTTCCACGCTCCTCAGGGGGATTTTAAGCTGGTTGGATCACACTTCATTCTTTCTCTTACAGCTCCTGACTATGATAGGAGCCAGTGGCTGGATGTGAAATTCAAACTAGACCTGGACTTTCCTAACGTAGGTGGTTTTAGGAGAAGAGGGGGCAGAAGGGAACACCTTCAGCTATATCCTTGCTCCTTTCCTCTCTAGTGGTTTGTAAAATAAGGGCTCTTCCTCTCGACAGAATGCAGGGGGTCCTTATACTTGGATGAAGAAAAAATTACATTTGCATTTCTACTAACCACTAGCTGAAAGTTAACAGTTCCTTCTGTTGTGAATGTAGGCAATGTGACTTTGATTATTAGTCAAGCCTGTGACTGGGTATTTTTGTATTACATGTGCTGCAAATATTATAAATAAATATTATTTACACTTATCATACTTTGAAAGTATGATAGAAATTACATCTTGTTATTTAATGCATTCATAGGCACATATTACTCTTACAATTTTGTTCTTTTAATGTTATATAAATTATGTAATATGTGTAATTTGCTTTATGCATTTAAAAACCTTATTCGGAGAAAAAGTGCATAGTATGCACATGCCCATACACAAAAACACACACAGTAAAGCATCCCTGTCTAGAATCAAGTGTAGACTCAGTTGCTACCTTTTACTTTCTTTCTTCTTTCTCCTAACACAGCATTTTCTCTCTACTGTTCTCTTCCCTGCAAGTCTTCTTTCCCAGGAGAGAGAGGCAGGGAGGCAAGAGAAAGTCAGGTTGCTCATTTGGCCTGTCCTTTTCTTTCCAGCTGCCCTATCTCCTGGACGGTAAGAACAGGCTCACCCAGAGCAATGCCATCTTGCGCTACATCGCCCGCAAGCACAATATGTGTGAGTGGGGTAGGGCTGGTGATGTGAGGGTTGCTCACCTGGGAATGGATGAGGCCAAGGGTGAGTTCCTGTCATCTGGCCTACAGGCGGTGACACTGAAGAGGAAAGGATTCGAGTGGATATCATGGAGAACCAGATAATGGATTTTCGCATGCAGCTGGTACAACTCTGCTACAACCCTGACCACGTGAGTTTCCTGAACAGGAAGGCATCAAGAAAAAGGAGCCTTTAGAACTCTTGGGTTAAATCTGCCCCGTTCTCCTGCTGCTGCCTTCCCAGCAGGTCTGTCAGAGTAAGAAACAGACTCTTATTTCTGGAGGGGTTGTTTGCCATGTAAGTCGTGGTGACCCTTCTTTCCACATCCCTCCTTTCCATCTACCACCTCACCCTGAAGGCATGGAGAGGAAAGCACCTGGAGAAAGGGCTGCTAAGTATCCATCACTGGCCCATGCCCTGATTCATGGAGATGATGGCAGCTGTTCTCACTTTTGCTTTTACTTCTCCCCCAGGAAAAGCTGAAGCCGCAGTACTTGGAACAGCTACCTGGACAACTGAAACAGTTCTCCTTGTTCCTGGGGAAATACTCATGGTTTGCGGGGGAAAAGGTAGAAGACAGGAAAGGAAAGGGAGGGGATCCTTTTCTGTCTCTGCAGGTATAATGAGCTCCCCAGACCTGATGATCTTATTGTCCCTGTAGCTCACCTTTGTGGATTTCCTCACCTATGATGTCTTAGATCAGAACCGTATGTTTGAGCCCAAGTGCCTGGATGAATTTCCGAATCTGAAGGCTTTCATGTGCCGTTTTGAGGTGATGCCCCGTGCACCTTTCTCTTAAAAAACACAGGCTGCCCTGGGCCCTCGAGGGACCCCGTTGTTGTATATTCTTGCCTAACAACAACTTTTGCCTAAAGGGATCAGTGGTTGGACACCTCTAAACCTTTAGGTCTTGGGAAGGCCCTGACTTCTATACCTTGAAGGCACTGTCTATAAGAAGTGGTGGGGATGAGGGACATGGCGGTGGAGTCAGGCAGCATGCGAATGCTACTGTTTTGAAATGGGTCTTTTGGCCTGGGTTAGAGTCTTTATAAGATTTGGTGTGCTTTCCTTTCAGGCTTTGGAGAAAATAGCTACCTACATGCAGTCTGACCGTTTCCTTAAGATGCCTATCAACAACAAGATGGCCCAGTGGGGCAACAGGAGAATCTGTTGAGCGGAAGGCAGACTTGTACTGCTTGTTTTGTTCCATTCCATCCCTGGGGTACCTGTACTCCCTCTTCCTGCTCTTTTCAATAAATAGCATTCAGGCTAGTGGTGTCCAGCTTGATTTCTGTTGGGAATAAAGGCCGAAGGGGAGTAAGGACATGTGAATTCAATCACTGCAAATTGGCATTCGCCTGCCCCACACCTGAGTCCAAGGGCTAGAGGCTCTTACCCAGACCTTGAGAATACTAGAGGGAAAGCTGAGATTTCACAGCTGTAGATAACAGGTTGTTAAATGAGACTGTACCCCCTGTGAAGTCTTGGTGAAGTCTTCAAGTAAAACTGTGTGGTAGCTTTGGAAAGATTTCAAGTAAAATTGTGGGGGATAGTTGTGGAAGATTTCAAGTAAAATTGTGTGGTACTATGGACTCAAAGGAACTGGAGATCAGAAACAGACCCTTATGTATGTGATAAAGATACTTCAAACTGGTGGACTAACCCTTTTATAGGAATAGGACAGTTACTTAGCAATTAAAAATAATAGACTCCTACCTTATGCCATTCACTAAAATTAATTTGTCTGGAGTTTAAGGCCCAGTGTTAAACACAAAGCTCTAGAAGTACTAATGAAAATTTATGAAAATTTGTGATCATAGGGTAGAAAAAGTTTCTCTAAATGCAACATTTTAAAAGCTGTAAAGGAAAAGATTTTACAGATTTACCATTTTTCCAGATTGTAAATGGATTTTTAATGACAAGGTATAACTAAGAAAAATTAAATGGCAAATGAGATAAAAGACCAGTATAGAGACTATTATATAAAGAACTCTAGTCAAGGCTATGGTTTTTCCAGTAGTCATGTATGGATGTGAGAGTTGGACTATAAAGAAAACTGAGTGCCAAAGAATTGATGCTTTTGAACTGTGGTGTTGGAGAAGACTCTTGAGAGTCCCTTGGGCTGTAAGGAGATCCAACTCAGTCCATCCTAAAGGAGCTCAGTCCTGGGTGTTCATTGGAAGGACTGATGCTGAAGCTGAAACTCCATTATTTTGGCCACCTGATGCGAAGAGCTGACTCATTTGAAAAGACCCTGATGTTAGGAAAGATTGAAGGCAGGAGGAGAAGGGGGCGATAGAGGACGAGATGGTTAGATGGCATCACCGACTCAATGGACATGAATTTGGGTAAACTCCGGGAGTTGGTGACGGACAAGGAGGCCTGACGTGCTGTGGTTCATGGGGTCGCCAAGAGTCGGACACGACTGAGCGACTTGAACTGAAATCATTAAAGCATTCCAGGTATTTTTTTAAATTGACATAATTCCTTGTGCCATACAGTAGGTCCTTATTATTTATTTTTTCTATAGTAGTGTGTGTCAGAGAAGGCAATGGCACCCCACTCCAGTGTTCTTGCCTGGAGAATCCCATGGACAGAGGAGCCTGGTAGGCTGCAGTCCATGGGGTCGCACAGAGTCAGACACGACTGAAGTGACTTAGCAGCAGCAGTGTGTGTCAGTTAATCCCAAACTCCTAATCTATTCCCTCGCATTGCCCCCACCTTTTCCCTTTGGTAACCATAAATTTATTTTCTGTGTTCATTTGTATCAATTTTTTAGGTGTATATACAACAGCAGCAGCACATATAAGTGATATCATATGATATTGGTCTTTCTCTGACTTAGTATGATAACCTCTAGGTCCATCCATGTTGCTTCAAATAATGTTTCATTCTTTTGTTATGTCTGAGTAATATTCCATCATGTATATGTACTACATCTTTTTCATACATTCATCTGTCAGTGGAATTTAGTTTGTGTCCATGTCTTGGCTGTTGTAAATAGTGCTGCTAGGAACATTGCAGTGCATGTATCATTACAAGTTAGAAATTTCATCTTTTCTGGGTGTGTGCCCAGGAGTGATATTACTGGATCATATTGCAGCGGTATTTTTGGTTTTTTAAGGAACCTCCATACTGTTCTCTGGGCTTCCCTGGTGGCTCAGGCAGTAAAGAATCTGCGATGCAGGAGATGGAGTTGGATCCCTGTTTTGGGAAGATCCCCTGGAGAAGGGAACGGCTACCCACTCCAGTATTCTTGACTGGAGAATTGCATGGACAGAGAAGTCTGGTGGACTGCAGTCCATGGGGTTACAGAGACTTGGAGACAACTGAACTACTAACACTTTCACTTTCATGCTGTTCTTCATATTGGCTGCACCAATTTATATTCCCACCAGTAGTGCAGGATGGTTCCCTATTTCTACACCCTCTTCAGCATTTATTATATGTAGACTTTTAATGATGGCATTCTGACTAGTGTGAGGTGATATCTCATTATGGAGGTAACTCAGTTTTTTAAAAGTGAGCAAAAGCTATGGACAGATGATTTATGGAAATAGAAATATTGATGGCCCAAAAGTTAAAAAGATGTTTATAATTCAAGAAATTGAAAATTATACCAGTAAGAGGACCATTTTTCAGATGAACAAATCTAAAGTTTATAAAGTATTGGAAAAGCTTTGGAAATTGACAAGGATTTCTTGCTGGTGGACACTCTTTCCCAGGACTCATTTCTCCAGGAACTGAAGGGTCAGTTTCCCGTTTATTTGCCTCTTCCCTGTGGTGAATAGACTTTAAAATGGCCCTCATAATCCCACCTTCTGGTACTCAGGCTCTTGTGAAATCCTCTCCCTTTGAGTGTGGGCAGGACCTATGACTTCATCTAATAAACTACAGCAAAAGTAATACGATAGGGAGATGTGACTCCCCCAGGTCCCAACTGCCCCTGACTCTAGTTCTAAGACAGGCAAGAAGAGAATGCTCTCACAATGGCTGCCTTCAAGCAAAGAAGGAAAGTGGACACCCTGTCACCCCAGATGCACAGAGATCGCACAAGTGTGAAACTAGTCGACTAGTGATTCATTTGTGCAAGTAGCATCAGTAAGAATTTTTTTAAAACAAAAAACTTGTGATAGCTGAATGTGGTGGAGAAGTTCCCCCAAAAGTAGAGAACTTCATTTGTATTCATTATTGAGCACCTAGATAAAGGCATTTCCAGTTCAGAAGGAAATAGCTTATGTGATTCAAGAAAAATTTGTAGTTATTTCACGGATGGGATAGGTGATATGTACAGAAATGGATCTGCCTTTAAAAGTAGTTGAAGCTGGGAGGGATTGGGGGCAGGAGGAGAAGGGGATGACAGAGGATGAGATGGCTGGATGGCATCACCGCCTCGATGGACATGAGTTTTAGTAAACTCCGGGAGTTTGTGATAGACAGGAGGCCTGGCATGCTGGGGTCGCAAAAAGAGTCAGACACAACTGAGCGACTGAACTGAACTGAACTGATTGTGAAGTGTACCAAAGGAAGGATATGAGATAAAGTATGGACAATTTAACAGCAAAAACAAGGAAAAGGGGAAAAAAAATAAGAGCTTATTAAAATACCTGGACTTGGTACAGAAATTGCATTTTCCTTATCCCTTAGCTGCAAGACTAGTTGGTACAGTGAGCCATGTGGATCAAAGGGATTTAAGGAGTCCAGGTGGATGGTAGAGAAGGGAGGAAGTAACATTTAGCCAGTGATTTTCCTAATGTGTAAGTTTGCTCACATCACTGCTGCTTGAATATGGATATGGCTAATGGCTTCTTAGGCCTTGGGGAAAAGACAGTCTCCTCCAGTTTGCAAAACCTGTCATAGTCTGACCTCTGCTTCCTCTCCAGCTACATCTCTTGGCAGATGTCTGTCCCTTTCCCTGGAGCATTGGGTTCTAGCTTTTCTGAATACCCTAGACTCCAGAATCAGGCTGCCTGGGTTGGGATCCTGGCCTTGCTACAATAAACTCTGGCCCCCTGTGCCTTCTCTGACAAATGAACACCCCCTACCCCACCCAGCCCAGCCCTCACTGGACCTTGTCAGGAATAAGCCAGTATTTCTAAAGCACTTAGAATGGATGAATGTTACATAAACTTACAGATTATCTAGAAGCACCATGTTCTTTCATCTTCATGCTTTTGCACTTGCTGTTCTCTCTGCCTGGAATGCTTTTGTTCTGGCCAGCTAAGCCTGCCTAATGCCTATTAACCATCTAATGTAAGCTGAGAAGCCCCTACCTGGGGGGAGCCACAACTGGTAATCCCTCTGGGAAGTATTAGTGATGGTCACCAATGATTTATGATTGTTTCCCTTTTAGAGAAGTTCCCTCTTGAATTTACATGTAACATTCTGACTTGCTTTACCAATTAAACACAGTGGAAATTACACATTTTCCGAGCAAAAGCTTTAAAAGCCAGTGTGGGAGTGACCATATCTACTTCAGACTGCTGTGGAAGCCTCCACCAGTCTGGGTCTCTGACAGACCAGGAGATCCAGGGGCTGTTGACCGTAGTGGACAGGAAGGGTGAGCAAGAAATAAACATGCATTAAGCCACTGAGATTTGGTTTCTCCTGAGTGGCATTCCCCCACCTTCCACCCAGCTAATTTCAGTGCACTGACTTTAAATTCCTGTTCCTATAGGATTCAATGTTTTCATCTGTCAGCACTTATTGAACTCTAGTTGCTGGCTTAAATGTCTGTCTCTGCCGTTGAATGATATGTTGCCTGAGAGCAGGGACTGTGACTTAAGCAAATTTTATTTGGAGCTTGTGTAGAGCTTGACACAAAGTAGACACAACAATGCATTGATTCCCTTTTAATGAAAATGGAAAGAATAAAGAAGAGGTTGCTTCAGAAAAGTACTTAATGGTTTCAAGGAACCTTAAGAATTTCACTCTGTTCTGGTTGGGAGATAGAACACAACACAGAATGCCCTGTTCTTTAAGTAGGTGGCAGAAGTCCTTGGAGGGAGCACAGAAGATCAGGTTCAGGGAGGTCCCAGAGATCAGCAAAGAATTCTGAGGCTGGAGAGTGGGCGATGAGATTTCATGGTCTGGTCTGCTGCTTGCTTAGGCCAGATTGTAAGGAAACATCACTGAGGACCAGCAGATATGAGCTCTCTGTGTTTCGGGAGGATT